AGCTTTATCTCTTCTAATAAACAGAAAAACTGATTAAGATCTTGACCGCAACTGAGCACCATTCAATATTGTTATATGTCAGAACCCCATTGTCATATGTCAGAACCATATACATTGTTATATGTCAGAATTTTGGTACTCGGTTTCTCTAATAATTGTGCAAATTCTTGTTTATTATGACCTCGTGCATTTATAAAATTGATGACTTTTCTTAGAGCTGGCATTACATGGAACTTAAAACTTGCTTCGCGCGTGAAACTTAATGGTGTGTTATGCTATGAAATTCAATCAGAGAATGTCCAATATTTTGCTTAAGCTGCTGAATAAAACCAATGTTTTTTCCACCATATAGGGTGGACCATCTGTTGCCACAGAAACAATTTTTGTAGATAAATACTGAATTTTAAAATGGATTCTTTAAAAATATCAAAACTGGTACATTTCTCTTTCAACGTTATTAGTTCTATTAGCTCTTCTTTCAATATATTCCCTGATTGACTTCTAGCAAAAACTACTAGTTGTCCATAACCATTTGCATCATTACTCTCATCTAAAGTAATTCAATATAGTTCTGCATACTTTAAATCGTTATGTATTTGCGAAGAAATATTTCTTTCTAATTACATTAAATATCCTCTTTCTAGACTTTAATAACTAGGTATGTTAAAACTAGCGTCAAAATAGAAAATATAGTCACGGTTCTTAAATTGAAATATAAAATTTAGTTTTATGGTGCATATTTGTTTTATTTGTCTATTAAACGTTGGCAAGAAGTATAGAAATCCCTAAAGAAAGAATGCGTTAAATGTTTCGCGAAGAAATTGGGTGTAGAAAGTAAAATGGCTACATAAGTGTACTTTTGATGTACGAAGAAGAATATTCTGTTTTTCTATAAGAAAAATGCCAAATAATAGATCTCTTACCAAACACATTTAAAAGGTGTTTAATTCAACAGAACCAGTTTTTTTTAAAGTCCATTCAGACTGTAAAATGAATGATAATGATACTTCAAACTGCAAAAAAAGAAGGATTATGAGAATATTTATATCAAGCTTGCTTAAGAAGAACTTTATAACATAAGAAAAATTAACGATAGCTGTAAAATAACGAGAGCTGACAATAAATTGCTAATTACTATTTAAAAGTTTTCAAAGGAAGAAAGAGCCCAATAGCAGAAAGATCACTCTTTCTAAGGTATTACAGATTTCATTGCACACTTTCATTGCATTTGCAACATTAAATTACTTGCATAAATTCTCGGATATTATTTCTGATCCACTGTACGATAAGCTTTATTATTTTCATGATGGTTTTAAAAGTTGTTGGATTTATTGAAGCTACCTAGTGTTTACCAAGTTTAGCATTCATTGACAATAACAGTTCGATGTCCACGCTTTCGACTTGAGGACTCTGAGTTTTCAGTTTCTGTGTAGGTCTTTGTTATCTCATCTTTGGGTAGGTCTTTGTTCTGTTGCAAAGTATGATTTATGGATTAACCTTTCGCGGTCGTTTTGAGTCGACTGTTTCTTTTAACTTCCTAATTTTTGCATTTCAGCATGAAAGTTTCCTTAAGGATCTCGAGGTCTTCTTTCTTCTTTAGTTGTTTGTATTAGGACCTCTCCATTTTTCACTTTCTTAACTGCGGGCACACCTAACTTTAATTTGGCGGATCGATGTATTTTACCAGTTTTTCATTTACCTTTTCAGATGAGAGTTCTTATTTTGGGTATATTATTGTGATATGTTTTTGTTCTATTTTAGCTCTATTCTGTGACCGACCTCGCAGTGTAGAGGTGCCTCTTTTTGCCGTGTTTGCCTAAGATGATTTTTTTATGGCTATGATTCCTCCTCTGTATTATTTGTTTTTTCTAATTGTCCTTCCAGCTTTGAAGTAGTAAAGTTCTTAGATGGGACTAAATTTAACACATATACAAACAAAAGGCTTTAATTTTCTTTCCTGCTTTCTTAAGAATTTTCATTTGTGGCTGAGATACTACCCAGTTCTGTAAAGTGTTCTTGCACACAAACTTTCTCATCAAATGAAGAAATATTTTCTTCCACTTTGTCTTCCTGATCTGTTTTAGGAGCGCCTGTCGATATTCTTTCTATTTACGGAAAATTTAGCCTTTCTTTCTCCGTTTTTCTTGATCGTGCCCTCTCGCTTTGCACTGCGAGAGTAGTAAGGAGTAAAGCGAATGAAAATGTAGCGCCATCAGTCTTCATAAATAGTAACGCAACTATTTATGAAGAAATTAATTTAATATAATTATAAAAGCGTTAGGCAGGACTAGACTATTTAAAGTCATTAACTAAACAAGATAAATCCTTGTGAATGTGAGAAGCTTCAAGAAAATCCAGTTTACCAACAACAATGCATAATTTTTGCAGACCTAAAGCCAAAATTAAGATTAAATTGATTAGCTATCAAAGACTTGTTAATTTCGGCTTTTCGGACGTAATGTTCGCGTCCCTTGATGCAAAACTTTAACGTACTGTTAGTTTAGCCGATACACTTCAAACCATACGGACAGATACCTATAAATTTCCCAAGAATTAAAGTCAGAAATGGAATCGAACCATTTTTATTGATAAGCGAGAAAATGACTTGAAAATTGAATTTCTGGAGAATCCATGCAATTTTGCAACTGACAAAAATATGAAATGGAAGCATTGTATATTATCTATTTTAAAAGAATGAATTTGCATAGAAAAGTTATATGGACGAAACTATTCCATATGAATATTTAAAATAGAATAACTTCTAATTAAAGAAGGATTATGTTTGAAGAAAAGCCTGAAGTGATTAGTGCACTAAGATAAGGAATGGTTGAAAAAATAAGGTTTTAATTTTCCTAAATATTTCAGATTCACAATCATACGCACTACATCTTCAAAAAAATATGTCAAAAAAATTAGATCAATTCATGAATGTACAAATTTAATAAACATATTACTTCTTATAAAATGTTATTGTATTTGATATAATGAAAATGCAAGAATATATTACTGCAGTATTAGAATTATCTAGAAAGTTGCTTTGGATAGGTAAAAAAATTAAAAGAAAGTAATTTGTTTACATAGAATTTTACTATGTTCTTGGAAAAATTCTTACAACATACTGATAACTGCTATTGAGAATAAGTGGGAAACTGAATTGTATTTTGCATTTGTTAAAAATAAATTGATGAATATTGCAAATGTTATGAAGACAAGCACGCTCATAAAAATGATTCCATTGCTAGAAAAGATGGGAGTGAAGAGAAATTGAAATAAAATGCAAAAAGTGAAAAGATATTTCCCTTTTTGTAATGATTGGTATATATTTTATGGCACATAACCTTAAAGATTATGATGCATCAAATGAATGATAAAATATGATCCTATATATACGTTATCTGAAAACACCAGATGAGATTTTTTTTTGCATTAAAAGCTTGTGTCATGTAAATTGCAAGCTTGAGTCATGACGTGTTCGCCAAATTAGCCTTTAGGACATAACCAAAGAACAAGCAAGTCAATATACATATTAGAGAAAAAATGTGAAATAATTTTTTTTTTTAATTTAGGAGAATGATAAAATTTTATGGAAATTGTAAAAGAATCATGAAATGATTAAAATACATGTAAATAAAAATAGAAAATGTGCTTATCATCAGGTATAAATCACGTTAGGCAGACCCCCTTCCCCCCCAAAACCTGGTTTACATCATACAATAAAAAAGATGCCATTTAAATACTTTACAGCATTAAGTCCTAATTACGTCACTATACTAATTACGTCACGAAGGCACGCAGTATGGTATCGATTCAAAGTCTCTGGAATTGCAAATACTGGCATCGTATTGCACTCTGACAGTCGGAACTCTGGAAGCATAAAATACACGGACACGGTTCCTACTGCCCAAAAGGGCAGCCTATGTGATCCTGACGTACTGGTAGGTTCACATAGGAGTTCACTACTCACTGGAAAGTAGTGGCCTATGCCACCCAGGTAGGAAGTGTGACGATTAGAGACGAGCGTAATATCCTCCCCACCCTTTGTGACCTTCGTGCTTCTGGGAAGGTGGTTTAACTTGTTATTAATTGTCCGCCACTTGTGGATAGGAAATCCACAGGTGTTGCAATAAGTGAATGTTTCTAGTTCTCCTTCTTAGAGAAGCTTTTGACAAGAGAACCCACCTGCGGCCTAATACGGAGGCAAGGGAGTCAGTTTGTGTAGTGCCCTAGTCGATGAAATGGAACACTTATTCAAGTAAGATTTATCGATTCATAGCCGACGATAATTCGTCACCACCTTAATTTGATGGTGCATTCTCTCTCTCCTCAGAATTTGCTCTTTAAGTGGGGGAAAATGTAAGGAATTTTCTCCTCCCTTACCATCTGTCTCCGGGATACAATTGGAAGCACCTCCGACTAGCCTCCGAAGTTCGAAATTTAGAAAGAGCGTTGCTGAATTTTCACGTTTCTTGCTTCGAAGTAAACCTAATGTCTCTACGATTGTAAACATGACTGTGATATCTTGACTGATATCTTGTGACTAGAATTAAAGCCATGCAGTTTATGCAGCAAGTTATCCCTCGTCTATATTTAATTCCGCGAGTTACCGTAATTATCTAATTATTGCCCAGTATGTCAAATAAAAATTAAAAAATTACTTTAGCTAAAGTTTTTTAACTTAAGTAGAAATAATTTTTTATCAGTAAAAGTTTTGTTAGTAAATTTTATTTAATAGTAAAAGTAATTAAGCTCATTCAATACAAAAATTATTCTGGAACAGTTTGCATAATTTTGATATAATATGAGATACCTACCGTTTTTATATTCTGAAATGTTCATGAAAAGAACCTGGCATTGAGTTCCAGACGCGTTAACTGCATTCATTTATTTATAAAATATCATTAAGAAATTGAAATTAATGTTAAAAACCAACATATAAAAATAGAAATTAAATTATTAAATCGAGATGTCTCGCATTAATAAATGAAAACAAGAATCATATAAACAATATATAAATATATTTATTTGTCAAAAAATTCTTTATAATCATTACAAAATAATAATAATAGTAATTAAGATCATACAAGAATCACATAGGTTTAGATCTATATTCAAACTGGTAGAACACCAGTCATATTTAAAAATTTACAAATTTTGATAAAATTAAGGATAAAACAAATGTATTTTTTACTTATAACAAACACAAAGGATTACGATTAAGCTCTCAGCAATTTTTGAAAATCACATAAACTAAGAAATCATTTTAAAATATGGTACTTTCTTATGATAGCGGCCCCCAAGATTGAATCGCTAATCAACAGAGATATCTCGCCACGTGTTTTTATACGTTGTAAGATCTGATTTTCGTTGCTAACATGGGATGTGACTAGATCTTAGTGTTAACGTACAGGCGTGAAGATAAACACAACAAGGAAAGGGTGTAAGAAGCACATTTATTAATCACAACTAGGCGCATATTTACATGCGGTTAACAACACCGATTACTTGGGGTGAGAACTTAAAGGTAAGTTGACAATAAATCTAAAAGGTAAGATGTAGTGCTAGATTACACAATTTAATTTAATCTAACAGGCTGACTAAGAAACCTACACCGGCGATATGCTACTAAGATGGAGGACAAAATAACAAACGTGAGCTTCATTAGGGAAATCATTCTCTGCCTAACCTTCTCGTTTCCAAAGTTTAAATACCCTCTTTCACCTTCTTAATTTGTATCCTGGAGAGGAAATGTGAGAGGAAACGAGAGAATTCAGAAAAGATATAAAATTTAAAATAAGTGGTTAGTGAACTAAAGGGAACCCTTACAACGTCACTACACATTACATTTTTGCTGTCGTCACGTGTTCTTATATTGTAGCATCCTCCAAAACTCCATTGTTGTGTTTGTTAATTTGTTTAATTTTTGTTAAGGGTTTCGAATTCGCATTAGTTTTTTTTTTAAATACTTCTCTTTTCCGCATTATTTTTATTTAAATATTTGCTTTGTGAATATGGGGTTAACAGTCTCCAATTTACCAAATAAAAAGGTGGGTACCATATAATTTTTTCAAGAAAGAGATATTTTACCTGACAAGCGACTGTACGAAAATGTCCGGCCACAACACGAAGCTATATGTTAACGACGAAACCATTTGGAGGTGCACTCTTAAAAATTGTAAAAGAAAGAAGGGACTTCGTGTTGGAAATTGGTTCAGTTGTTCAAGAATATCATTCATCACTGCTATTAAATTTATGTATTCTTGGGCAGAGGAACTGACATTCTTCAGACTGTGTGAAAAACAGCTTCGAAAATGCTGCGAATGATCGGAACATTTGTTTGCGTGTTCCCTAAACGTGATGCAAAGATTCAGTAGACGAATATGCTGTCCACTGAATCTTTGCCTCAGACAGTGAACGGTCCCAGTTAAATAGCTGAAATCAATGAAAGTTTGTTCGTGCCATGTAAGAACAACAGTGGCAAAATACTCACACAACAATGGATTTTTGGAGGAATATGCCGTGAAATTAGTGAATGCTTTTTCGTTCAAATCTGGAATAGTATACTTACTGAGAAAATTATTCAACGCGTACAAGATGGATCAATGATCTATTCAGACTGCTGAAAGGGATATAAAATGTAGAAAATTGATGACGTTAGTCCCAGTGACAATTCTTTAGATCATACAACGGATGTTCACACCCAAAATGTGGGAAGAATCTCGGGTTTCGCCTATGTGGCTTAATAAAAAACAACGGGGCACGGATCGACATCACTTCGAATCACATATTTTGGAATTTATATGGAGAATGTACATAGGAAACAGATTATGTTTTTGATGAATTGTTGAAAGCAGTTTCAGAAATATGGCCTTGTAATAACGGTTATTAAAAATATTCTTAGGAAGCAACATGTGAGTACTATTGTTACTATGGTATATTGTGTCTTTTATTATCTTCATGTTTCACGATTGATTAGCCATTCAAACTTGAGGGCCGCTATAATGAGTAAATTCCTAAAATACTAACCAATTAAATTATTCTAGAAGTAAAAAACAATTATTTTAAATTTTCATAAACGTCTTCAGGGTTAGTAAACCTCCTTCTCAAAGTTTGATATAAAGCGCAAGATCTATGTGCATCGATCGTGGCAACGTTCAAAATGCTACCTCGTATACATGTGACAAATAGAAGAAACCATAAAAAAATCAATGCAGCTAGCCGAAAGTTTCTTTATGTATGAAAACTCGTTAGGCACAAAGTTGACTTAATGAATAAGCAAAATTGTTTATTTAAACACTCAAGCAATTCCTTAACTTAATACTACAAGTTTCAATTCTAAACCAAAATTGCAATTCCCTTAAAGAACTCTTTTAACCAGGTGTATGATGCTAACGTTACTTTTATCACTATTATACCCGGAGACTGAAAAGTAATAAAAAAACTAAAAACTCAATAATTCGATGGAATTTTTCAGAAAATTGTAAAAGAAAGATGTATATATACATAACTACTTCAAGCAGCTAGTCATTAGAAATAAAAGCAAAGTCTTTCCGTGAATTTGCCCACCAGTGGCCGAGCGGTAAAGTCGCTGAACACTGGTAGATCGGTCTGAGGTTCGAATCTCTCGAACGGGCTGGCTGCATAGGCGTTTTCGTGGTTTTCCCCATGTGTAACGTGTATACGAGCCAGTTTCCCTTTGAAAGTCCTCCACGAAGGCATCCCTCTCCTTAGGCAGATAGCCCTCGAGGCTTTGCCATAATCACACACTTTCTGTGGATTTCTGGGAATACTGTCTACACTTTTCGAATAATTGAATTTTTCCTTTTTCTCTTACTTTTAATCACTTTAAACACGGCGCAACATTAATGCTATTATTTAAAAAGAAAGTTAAATATTACGTTAAGTAAACTGAAATAAAACCCAATTATTTTTGAATTAATTTAATGCTAATTATTAAAGTAATATTAAAGACCACAAGTAGCAGGTGAATTAAGAAACATGCGAGAAAACGGTACTTACATATCTTTGCAATCGACCATTTCCGGTAAAAAAAAAAAAAAAAAACCACGGAATAATTTTAGAACATTTGGTGCCATCTCCGCCAGTTTTCATGGTCAACGAGAAAATATGCAAGTGCCGTTAAGGGGATTGTTAGTGAGATTCTAGCTTCCTGTGGTCTTCTGTTACAAAAATGAGCGAGCAACACTAAGATATGAACATTGTATCGTTAAAATTCAGACACAATTTTTTTATCTTCGTTGTCCTCCAACTACGCAGTACGTTCTAGCAGATGCAAGAATAATAACTGATGTTTATATACAAGTTAATGAAAGTAACATTAATTACAATGCACCATACATAAAGATAGAATTTAACTACATTAATATTTAAGAAGATATTAGATAATGTTATTATTCCTATATACTGTTTTATACAGATTTATAAACTTAACAATTAGCATAAAATTTATTGAAATTTCATTAATTAATGAGGAATTTGATTAGAATTTTACAGTAATATAAACTCTGATTTCGGCTTCAAAAAAGGTAGTTGCAAGTTTTGCCATTCAATCTTAATGTAGATAATGAATAAATTTTTTTATACATAATTAATGATTACACATTTTGATTCTGAATATTAAAATAGTTTTGAAAATGTGTATTCTGCGTATTAAAGTAATTTAGTAACAGTTTTAATATAATGTTATTGAAATGAAATTCATTATAACTTATATTCTTAAAAAAAAAAAAAGAAAAAGAAAAAAAAGAAAGAAAGAACGAAAGAAAATTACATTTAAAACGATTACTTCTGTTTACCCTGAATTATTGATAGTATTTATTTAAAGCTTTGAAATTAGAATTTTGAGTCATTAAATGAGGTACAAAAGTATAATCAATTATGAACAACAAATAACACTTCCGCACAGAAACCAGCCTGTCAGAAACAATCAATCAGCCTTGTGATTTACGGGGGCTATCGAAGTAAGTATGCAGCATCGTATATTTATAAACCAGTTATGAAGATTTTTGAGTTTTAAAATGTATCGTATTTTGGGGATATTTTGACATTTTAAAGTTACCTAACTTCTTAAGGTCATCATTCTTTATACGGCAAGACACACACAAGATAAACATTTTGTTAAAATCTATATGTATGCTGCCCAATGGCTTAAAATTTTGTAAAACAAGTTAATACTTCGAGTCGCAGTTTTAAGTTACTGAAAGAAAATCAAGAAGATGTGGTTTTGTGTGCAACTGCCACTAAACCATACAAACTATTATTACTCATCCAGCAACGGATATTTCTTGTGTGCAAGCGTTCAGTTTGGGAAAAACTGTCATGTGCGCAAGTGCCATTAAACTGAAGAAAGAGTTTAAAAGTAATTTTTGCACAATTTGTAATTTTACGCGATTAGTTGTTTTTTACTTACATCAGTTGTAACTATGTTTAATATTTTTATTTTTACTTTTTATTTAATTTTTTATTACATATTAATACATTATATATATTAATTACATATTATATATTAATTTTTATTATATATACTATATATACATGCATTTTTCATTATGCGACAACTTAGAATTGGATTGCATAAATTTCAAAATAAACTAATCCATGGGTAGGTATTATGCTACTTCTTGCAAATTAATTTAAATTCTTCATTATATATCGTTCATTATATTTCCTTATTCATCATATCTCTTAAAAGCAAATTTGAAAAACAGATAGATCTAAGAAATGTGAGGAACAAGTCCAGCTTCAAAGGAAGCGATATTTGTTCCTCAAATTTGTTAGTTAAACATTTGGCCTTTTGTCTTCTAATGGGCAACGTATTTTCACATTTAAATACTTACCTATTAATTGAATTTTTGCAGAATGATGGCGTAATTAACTACTAGCATACACAGAATGTAATGGCCCTTAAATCGATAAATTAGGTATTCGTTTGAAAATATCTTTCCCATTTTCTAAGGTGCCAAACATAAATTATTTCTTACAATTTTTTTACATGTATATCATTTTCACTTAATACCATAAGTAAGTAAGTAGACTTAAGCCATTCTTAAATAAACGAAGGATTATCATAAATGATTTTAACTGCATCTTGTACTTAATGATTAGTAGAATCTTTCTAATACAGTGCATTTAATGGTTGATCTGGTGCTTCTGATTCAAAGCTCTACAAAAGCTAAAGTCTACATAAATAAAATAAATGCACAAGATTAACCTAAATGCAAAAGATGCTTAACATTAATTTAAATTTAATTTTAATTTAAAAATTTAATGAATGCATTCGAAATTTCTTGTGGTAAAAAATTTCACCGATGAAGCATAGTTCTTTACTTTCGTGCAGCCTCTCTTGATGGCTTCTCACAGAACATTTCAAACTACTGCATAATTCCATAGAATTTTGCGCCAAGGAGTAACATAAACCAGGATCCAGGTCTTCTACAGTTATTCGAATGCTCGCAGACTGTTCGGGTCTTACGATCAACTTTTTTCTGAGGTTGAGAATACAAGGCGAATTTAATGACTTGAACCTTTCTTCGGTAAAAAATATATGTTCTTTGTCATTAACGACTTCTACATAAACTTTTCTTTCGGTATTATCACAACAGTGCAGATTAATCCCGATTCCTAATATTTCGTAACAATTCATCCGAGATTCAAAGACAACCTCATTGGATATATCTTTATGAAAATTGTTCATTGCACTCATGCCGATGTCCACCAAAGGCACAGTAAAAATTGAAGCTTCAATGTTCATTGAATTTTTCACGAAGCAGTACAGAAATTCCTCTGCTTCACGCATATTTCTGCCTAAAGCTAAAAATTGACTGGTGACATGCACAACAGGATCAATGCTTAGCCTTGTCGCCAGCCCGTGAACTGCGTTAATATAGTTCGTGCAAATAGGGTTTTCGCAGAAAAATTCTTCGCACATGCGTTGTAAAGTTACCACTCCATATGCCTGTGCAGCTGCATACGTCTTCAGAGCAACATCCCAGTTTTTAATTGGACATGTATTCCACTGGATAAATCTGAAAAGAAAGAATAGCGTTAACATCAATTATTAGGCTAAAAGGGGCTGTTAGTCTCGAAACGTGATTTTGCGGCAAATGTCGGTTCACGTTTTCAAACTGTTGCCCCCAAATATTATCTCCCTGTTTTATTTTTAAAGAAATTGAACAACGAAGAAACTACATGCATGTACGTATGTTCCTCGCATTGTAGAAAAACGACGGTACCTAAAGCCTTCAAGTTTTGAATAACTTCGTCCTCCACCCAAACATGTGCACCTGGAAGCCGAATTTTAAATTTGTTTTATTATTTATTTCACACTTTGTAAAACATAAATGAATTTTTGATTAACAAACTCAACAATCTGAAAGCGAGCTGTGACAACGCTATTCGAAATTGAACTGTTCTTTCAATTTTAATTAACAAACTTGGTTTAATGAAATCAATGTATTGCAGCGGCAGGAAATAAAACAATGCTTTTATCTTTCGCATTTCAACATGTTGCCGTTCAGTAAAGTTTAAGAAACTCCGAAATTTAATCTGAAAGATTACTGAATTATATACTAAGGAATTAAAAGCAATAAATACAGTTCTTAAAAATATTTTTTCTACTTTTGAATGCGATTGATTTAAATAAACATGCATAAAATTATGAGATGTCTAATTAGAAATATTCAATATTTTTATGAAAATTTTTAATTTTTTTTAAAAATAATATAACGAATTTAAAAATATGTATGACAACCTTTAACACACTATTGGGAATTCTAAATGTATGCTGTTTTTAAATGTTTTGTGATTTTTCTGTTGAACTGAATTTTATATAGTGTAAATGGGAAGAAAGTGATATCTAAAAAATAAAGTTAACACACAAAACGTTCATAGCAAACAGACCCCCCCTTTTAAAAAAAAACAGCTTTTAAGCCATCTTTCTAATAAAACTGAACAGTGATAGGATGAACTGAGAAAAGACTGAAAAAATTAAAAAATCTAAAAGGTTTCAGATTTTAAATTATGTCCAAACGGGCGTTTTTTTAACGTCTTGTATGTTACCTTTATTTATTAAATATCATGCTCTTCGTACTTAAACCATAAATTTCAGTTCAATAGCAATGTCGCAAAATAGTTTTAAAATGAGCCTGTCTTTAGAATTTCCGATACACAATTCCGCGCCCGCTGGAGATAAAAAGGTTTTTTTACTCCCGTAGATTGTTGCCATTGCTCGCTTTCAAATCGTTGAGTTTGTTACCCAAAAATTCGTTAATGTTTTACAAAATATAAAATCGATAATAAAACAAATTCCAAATTTCAAATTTGGGCTTACACATGGCCATATTCACAATAGGATTACGTCATTCAAAATCGATGGCTCAATGCACAGTTGTTTTATCATAATGCGAGAAATATACATATATTGATGCAGATTTTTCATTATTTAATTTCTTCAAATATAATGAAAGACTCTAATATTTGGTGGCAACAGTTTGAAAAGTGAAACGGATACTTATAGTGATTCAACTCAAAATCGCAAAACGAAAACAAGAGTCCTTCAGGGACAAAGCTCCTTTGGACTAATATATGCTAATACTTAACACCAGCACTACATGCCAACACTGCATCGAGATTTCTAAACATTTACTGCTGTGCTGATTTTTAAATTTTGTGATTTTACTGTCGAACCACACGTGGCGTAAGCGTAAAAAAAACGATACTTAATAACAAAGCTGAAAAGAAAAAAAATGTTTAAGTGAAGCAAAGATTCGTGATTTCATATTTCTAATGTAAAAAAAATGTTATATAGTCAAAAGTTGTTAATCCAGACTCGTCGGGACTTCGACAATTCCGCATTATCAATTTTTCCGGATTATAGATCATCAGTTTAAATCTGGTAAGATGGCATGCAGAAATTATAAAATTAAAAATATGAAACCGTAATTTATGAAATAAAGAACAATTATGATCTAAAGAGTATCAAAATTTACAAAAAAAAAAAAAAAAAAAAAAAAAAGCTTAATATTTATTTGTTTACTTTATTAAACATTTCTTTCAATTATTTAAGTTGCTTCGTTTTTTATGTGATAATACATTCTCTTGAATTCTATAAACAGACATAATTTCTTGTTCAGTTACAAAGTTCCGCTGTTCAAGTCCTAATAATTGCTGTGTCTACCGACTAATTTGTCAATCGAAATTTTTTTCGTTTCAATAACCTCTGTCACTTTCTTCGCTATCGGAAGCGAATTATAATGATGAGGAATTCGATTTAAATCATATCAAAGACGGAGTACATCGAGATGAAATACTACATTTAGTAAGGAATTATAAGCCAAATAAAATAAAAACATCTGCCTTGAAGATAAGGATAGTGCTGACTGATCAACTTCCAATTCATTGCGTGCCGCGGCGTTAAAGATAAACAAAGTTTAGATAAACAAACGTTAAAGTTTAGATAAACAAAGGATATGCCTTTATCCATTTTTTGCAGCAATTCCACTTTTTGTTTAATGGATTTCGAAACATACTTTCCCTTTGTAGATCCTTTACATATTAGTAAATATATATCAGAAATTCTATTTGACATAATCGAAAGTTCAAGCTTACTTTTATAAAGTTGCTTTAACAGTATGCAAAAAATAATAAGCCGAATCCAATTCGAAGATTAAGGAACAACGCAATCTGCAACATTAACTGAATTACATAATTTGAGCTTAGCTTATACCGTCCGTTATACATTAAACGCGCATTTGTAAACGTATTTTGCGCACGCGCACACGCATATTCGCAGCCGTAAAGGTCTTACGCGCATGCGTCAACGCGACGCATGCGCAGAAAGTTTGTAGCTTTGAGGTCCGGATTATAGATCATTCCTGATTATGGGTGTCCGAATTAACGACTTTTGACTGTATAAAATACGAGATATAACTTTTTATGTTTCTTTGGTCGCTGTATATTGATTGATATGGAAGGGCAATTATTCCTTAGAAAGACACGTAAAACACTTATTCCGTAGACACGCAAAACATTTGACTCTTGTACGAAAAAAATCGACCGAAATATTTGATATTCAAATTGGGAAAAGTATGTAGGACCCGTACACAAACTGAAGTGTGAAATATTTGCATTTCTACGTAGCTAAAAAATAAAATATTAGCTGGCAGGTTTCAGTATTGTCATGTAGCCAGCTCACAATATGGTTGCCATTATTTGAAAGTGAAAAATATTTGTATTTTAAGGAATTTTTTGAGTGATTTTCAGATTATGATTCTAAAGTAATAAAACTTCATGAAAACATTAATAAATTATTTTCGGTCATTGTAAACTTACAAATTACTTCCGTGAAAATTCTTTCCTATGCCAAATGTAGGAAAATTTTAAGTCTGAAGATACATGTCTGTGACGTTATCATCATGCTATGATTTCTAGGTGCCTTAACTTTTACCACGGTATTTTCTATGACGGTGTTTTAAAACTGCAAAAATTTTTAGACGCATTTCTTTCTACGACGATGTTTTTAGATCTGTAATGTTTTCACCGTGCTTTCTTTATTCCCCTTGCATTATTTTCTCCGTACCGTTTTCATCTGCGATGCTTTTGTCGCAATGTTTTCGGAAGGCACCTTCAATATAATACTTTAATAAATTTCTTATTCAGCCTCTAAACAGCTATAATTTGCTCCATCTCTTTTATCGAAGGAATTTATAGTGTTGGCATTTTCATAGGGCGAAATTTTTTCCTCTTCAAATTTCCGTTTAATCTATATATAAATGTATATTTTTATTGCTGCAAACAACCCTTTGGTTGTCACTTTGCTCAAGTAAAAGTTTCAGTTTACATATCATAGAAGCGCTATCTCTTGTTTTTCCCACTCCCAGGTAACTATTTGTCTTTGACCTCGTCTGGGTGTTCTCTAGTCACTGATACTTCGATATGTTACTGCTTTTCTATTGTTCAATTCGTTATCAATATCTTACTGTTGGACAGCATATCAGACATGACGCAGCAGCCCAAAATATTGCTTTCAAAGATATTCCATGTATAAATCAAAATATAAATAAAAAATCTGATGTAGAAAACCACATGACTTTCTTGTACACCTATTTAATTATATACATTTTTACAGCACTTCAGTTAAACTTTTTCTCGAATTATTCTAACTTAATTATATCTCAAGGCAAGTTGAAAATAACATAAAAAACTGCCAATTTTAAAATGACTTGTAGATATCCTACTCAATTTTTCTCTTGCGGGAGTCAAACATCTTGAATTTTTATTTTTTCACAGAGTCTGAAACTTTTTACTTTTTCGTACGAAGTAAAAAGGAAGAATTGTAATCGCGAAAAGTTTCAGGCAGCATATTTCAACGAAAATATCCATTTTGACAGCTATCGAATGCAATTTAACGATGTTTTTGCGTGATATCTGTCCATAAAAACAGAATAAAAGGCTCGTTTCCTCCAAAAAAAAAAAAATTATAAAACTGCTTTAAAATAAATTCTGAAGAGAATTTTTCGTGGCGTCTGTACGAACGTATGTACGTAAAAAAAAAAAAAAAAAAAAAAAAAAAAAAAAAAAAAAAAAAAAAAAAAAAAAAAAAAAAAAAAAAAAGAAAAAAAAAAAAAAAAAAAAAAAAAAAAAAAAAAAAAAGAAAGAGAGAGAGAGAGAAAAAAAAAAATCTGAAATGTTTCAGATTTTAAATTACGTCCAAAGGGGCGTTTTTTAACATTTTGTGTGTTACCTTTCTTTATTAAATATCATGTTTCTCGCACTTAAACTATAAGATCCAGTGCAACAGCAATATCGTAAAATAGTTTTAAAACGAGCATATCTTTAGAATTTCCGATACAGAGACTCACGCGCTGGAGATAAAAATATTTTTCTGCACAACGTTGCCATTGCTCGCTTTGAAATCCTTGAGTTTGTTAATCAAAAATTCGTCAAAGTTTTAAAAAATAGGAAATCGATCATAAAAAAACAAATTTCAAATTTCAAATTTGGTCTTCCACATGCTCATATTCGTTGG